ATTTATTATTAATAATTCACACACACACATATATATATATATATATACTATGGAAATTTTCGGGGTTTTCCCCCTATGATAATTATTCTTTTCTCCTCAATTTATTAAGAAAAAGACTAAAATATACTCTAAATTAAGCAAGAGAAAAAAAAGGTAATCTATCAGCACCAGATTGTCACATACTGTCCCAATCTAACAAAAAGATAAAAGTATTAAGGGGGTGTTAGTTAATTGAAACATTTTCATGCAAAATGAGATAATTGTTAAAGTAGAATAATTTTTCTCTAGTATTTTAGTGGGATAAATAGGAATAATTTTGTGAAGTGAGATATTTTTATAAAATAACGTGGGATAAATTTTTATAATCATGAAATATATATTTATACATTTTGAAGATATAAATACTATTTATGTATTTTAAACTTACTATTATTGATTGATAATTACTTACAAGAATGTTCTTTACTATTAAATAACTTTTGGTTAGACTATAAGATATTAACAATTAACAATTATTATTATAATAGTGGTCTAATGATGATGATAACCATAATAGAAAAGAAGTAAAAAAAAGAAATATAAAAAATAAAAAATAACAAAATAAATATGAGTTTTAGTTTTTTACCACCTAGTTCCAAGCTAAAACTTGGAATAATTTGAGAAACTAGAACTCTCATTTTTATATATAGAAATAAAAAAAGTGGCAAGCTAAAACTTGGAATAATTTGAGAAACTAGAACTCTCATTTTTATATATAGAAATAAAAAAAGTGGGATAATTTTATACCATTATCCCAATTCTAGTTTTGTTAGAGTTCTACTTGACTAACACTATAAAATTTTATTCTAGTTTTAGTTCTATGTGACTAACACCTTAAAAATTTATCCCACAGATTATCTCAATTCTAATTTTAAGTTCTAGGTGACTAACCCTCTAAGAAACTAGTTACTATAAGTTAGGTGCACAGAACTTAATATTTACAATGTTTTTTGTTATAGGTAATCTAGTTTTACAAATTTGTTGCACGTATTTGTGTCAATTTGATTTGACAAATATGTATTCAAAATGAACATCAATCAAAATTATTTTATTATTTGAAACGACTGACAGTACTTGTCATATTCCTACACCAAGTGCTAGATAATTATTTATATTAATTGCGTAATTTGCTAAACTAGCATAGTAGTAAGTAGCTACACCAAGTGCTAGATAATTATTTATATTAATTGCGTAATTTGCTAAACTAGCATAGTAGTAAGTAGGTAGGGTTGTCTAAGCGGGCTGACCTAAAAATCTAGGTTCAGATAGGGCAAAAAGGGGGGACCCAGACACAGGCTCGGGCCAGGTGCGGGCCCGAATAAAAACTGTAAATGTATAATTTCTCGATATGTTATCTGTGATTTCATTTGTCAGTCCTTCCTTTACTATCGATTTCCATTTACAAGGATGGATAGATATTTGTACATACACATATTCCTTAGACTGGATTTTGGTATCTTAAAACTTAGAGCTTCTTTTTGGTATCTTAAGGAAGCTATCAGGTTCCCCTTATTTGACCAGGAGAAAAGGTGCAAACTTTCATCAAGAGGTTCCATAAACAAAATTTAGAGCTCACAGTTAATTAGGATGTCTACAGAGGTGGCTATTGAACCATGTCAAGATGCCTAACCTGATACCTCATAGCAAACATGGAAGCCATGAATCAGATACTTGGAAAGATCTGATAAAGCATGCAAAGAGATCCTACGACATACCAGCTAGGTTGGGATAAAAACATGATCCTCAGAGCAACAACAAAGCGGGTACTAGATCCAATAAGTAGTGAGGCTAGGACAACTAAAGGACTCCCTTACACAACCGAGTGCCTCCACCAACCTAGCTACACAAAGATAGTCGAAACAATATCCAAAAAAGATCTTTGCCTTCAAGTTGTTAGCGATTCTAAGCATTACAGCTGAACTTTTAGGACCTAAGGGCTGAACTTTGAGATGGTGTGCTACGTTGCATATTTGTATCATCTATACAAGTTACTCTTGATCACAACTGATTCTCTACTAGTTTGTCTCAAAATATCAAAGGTTATTAGATTGAAATGTCTTGATTAAATATCATTTGACATTTTTATGCTTAATTATTTTTTTCTGAACTGATGAAGCTCTTTATCCCTTTGATAGACAAATACAAACAATTTTGACTTACTGGAAATCAAGTTGGTTTAGTTGTCAATGTAAGTTGAATCTTAACAGACCTTATTACAATGTTGTGTGCTGGAGGAAATTGACCAGAACTTTAAAATGTAATGCATAATTAAGTGTAAAACCCATAGTACAATATCAGATGTAGACAAATTGGCAATCACAAGCATTTCACACTTATCCACATGATGTTCTGAATTTTTTGTCGATTGTGTA